CAACGTCGATGCCCGCAGCAGCTTGAGCAAAGCTGGCGGGATGCCCCCACCTCTTCCCACGTCCCTCGGGCTGCGGGACCGACTCCAACACACCCGCGCTGCCGGTCCCTGTTTCGCGCCTTTCGTCGGAGACAGTTAAGCAGCTTTGCTTATTTCAATCCATTAAAACCAGAAAAGCTTTTTAATAAATCCCCCACCAGCCTCGAATTAGTAGATGTGGGCCAATTAGACACATCAGTTAGGCACTGGTTTAAACACAGATGAGGTTTGACTTTGTTTACCAACCTCAGAAGGAAGCAGCTTCTCAAAGTTCACCTCCAAAGCACCGAACAAACAAGGTACGTTGGTTCCCGGTCACAAGCCCCTTATAACAGAAACACTTCGACTTCTGTTTTATTTTCAGAGCTCTTGCTTTCTCTCTGCCTCCCCATGCAATAAAAATGAGACATTTAATCTCATAATGCAACTTCTCACTGGAAATCAATGATGAAGCACATTATCTTGCCTGGCCTGATCCTGCGGCTCCAGCCTGACCTTTCTCAAGCGCAGCGAAGCCAGGGGAAAGACAAAGGTTGAGCTGAGGGAGCTTCCCAGCGGGAAAGCGGGAAACTGTCCCGTCCCTCAGGAGGGACGGCCCTGCTCAGCAGCCATCTGACACAGTTTGGTCTCGCTCTTGCCCCGGTGCGTGCTGCATGCGGGAAAGGGCCACGCGTGAGCAGTGAGACGGCAGAGCAGGCTGATCTCGGCATCGCCTTCACCGTGAAGCCTCCGCCCCACGGAGGACACAGCGCTGTGAGCGTTACTGCCCGCAGGGTCCTGGCTTCGGCAGCGCTGGGTTTGTTGCTGGGGGGTTTCTGATCAGGAGACGGATCCTGCTACCCTTGCTCCTGCTGAGCAGCATCTGTTCCACAGAGGCCTGGGTCCTGCACGAGGTCAAAGCAAACCCCGAAAGGAGGAGACGGTGATGTCCCAAGCCCCCGTGGGAGTGATGGCAGCCGTTTTGTCACGCCCGTTGCTGAACAAGACCCTCTTCCAGTGCTGCTCCATGAACGGCATCCCCATTTCCATAAAAAGGATTTGCCTGAATCTCTGTAACTCCCCACGCGGCAGGGAAAGGCCGTGCTGAGGGAAGACCCCTGCTACAAGACACTGCCAGGTGATGATTTCTTCTGTGGTCAGGAGAAGACCTTCGAGCCAACCAAGGTCTGCCCACCACAAGAACCAAAGAGGAGAGCGCTAGCAGAAGGCATGCTGAGGAAGCGCTGCGAGCTGTCCATTCTGCAGGGGCAGAGGTCTGGGGCCCTGCCCCGAGCAGCCCCAGCCACAGGGAGGGGGAGATCAGACTCCAGACCCCCTCCCTGCGCAGGTAGCGCTTTGAGAAGGCCATGCTCTGCCCTCTCTGCCCAAGCACTGCTGGCTATCATCACAGACACGTGCTCGGAAACAAACCGGAGGATTTAGGCAGTCCATGGCCATTTAGCACTGATGCTGCCACCAGAGGAAACTGCACGTGTAGCTTCTGCCTATCTTCTCCCGTGGCTGGAGACCATCTCCCAGGGTTTTGCAAGCTTGAATCTGCACCGGCACACTGGCCCAACATCTGCATGGAGCAGCAGACAATGCACGACAGCATCAGCTTTCTGCTCCACGTATTATCTGGGGATGCCAGAATTTGGCCTGCAAGGCACCGGAGGCCCCAGACCCCTCCTAAGAGATGTGGGCCAGGCACACAGCGATGCGATTGCCGTGAGATCTGCTCTCTCTGTCACGGAACAACCAGGAGCTCACTCAGCAACTCCATCTCCTGTCTTCAAGGTGGGATCCCATTGACAAGCAGTGGAAAAAATCACCAGCAGCTGGGCGGCAGCAGGCGAAGCGCATCTTCTCTCGCGGGCGGCCCCCACGTCGCTCCGGGTGCGGAGGTTTGACAGCCCCCCAGGCCCCGTTCGTGGGGTGCGGACACCACCACGGCGAACAGAAACCAGACCCGTCAAACCGGCCCCCCGCCGACAGCTTCTGCTGCTGGTGACGGATGCCGGAGCCGGTATTTTTTCTTCGGTAACAACTTTCACTAATGGTGCTGGCACGGAGGCTTGGCAAGGAGGAGGGAAGTGGCAAGCGTCCAGGGTGAGAAAGAGTTCACGATTACAACGGGAAAGGGCACCGTGTCCGTGGAAGCGCAGAGGACTGGGCTGGCAGGGGCTCCTGGAGGGCATCGGGCCATGCCCTGCTCCAGGGGAGCGCTGGCTGCTCCCAGAGCGCTGTCAGCAGACGCCCAGACATCTGCTCAGCTTATTTTTAAACTCCCCCGGTGACGGGGCTGCCACCATCTCCCCGTGCAGTCTGTTCCAGCGCTTCACTGTTTTCACGGTGAAGTTTTTCTCAGGCCCAGCTCAAACCTCCTTCGCTGTGACAAAAGCCCAAAGCGCCGTGTCCTCCCCAGCGGGACGGGTGAAGCGGGCCCTCAGCCTGCCCGCTGGTTTGTTCCCCTCGTTGGTTTTATTCCCGGTCAGAAGCAGGAGGGTTTCTTTGTCGCAGAGATCCCACGTCCCACGAGAGACAGCTCGGAGACGCACCTTGCCACTTTGGACAGTGAAACATCCGGTGAAACAAAAGCTCAGGAGACCCGTGTGAGCAACGGGGCCTCTGTGGGCTCCATCC